TGTAAAGCGAACAACCTTCTGTGATACAAACAGTTGGTATAAAAAGCAACCCTGGCATAGAGACTGCCACCAATTTATACAGCATCCAAACCAGAACAGGCAAAAATGTGTCTTCAGAAAGTTGGAACAATTCATGGAAGATGGATTATTTGGTGATAGTAAGCATGCAATTTTTGTTTCCCAACTATATCACCATTACAAAGAAAAATCAGTGAATGATGGGGGGTAACAGAAGCCCAGACTTCTGTTGCTTGAATACCTGTGATGATGCATTGTGAGATCCAAGGGGTAATAACATCAGTGAGAGCTGGCTGTGACCTTGCTAACCCTTGCACAGAGCAGCCTAGCTCATACCTCGACTCCATTTGGACATATCTGTGACTCTTGGACCACTGGGTGGGGATTTGTTTATGCTGCGCAGTGGGGCTGCTGGCAGCTGCTCTCAGTACCCACCCACACAGCACCACCTGTGTTTCCCGAGCCCTGCCTGGCTCAGGCAGCAGCCGCCCTGTGAGGAACACTCACAACAGCAGAGCTGAGTGGTGTGGGGTTGGCTGTGTCCTTAGGGGCAGCTTGTAGAGAGCAGGGGACAGGTGGGCTTCCTGTTGAGGGACTGGGTCATGGCTACTTCCAGCCCAATGACCATGGCCTATCTCTCTCTTTTGGACTTCGTGGCAACCTCTGCTTGCTGGAGCACCAGTGCAGGGGAGCAGCTTTAGGAACTTGGCTCTCCCAAGCCCACTACCTGGGGTCATGGAGGTGGTGGACTCGCCCCGTCCGTGGACGCAGTCAGAGTGATGTTGCCTATGTCACCCCTTGTCTCCACAGCTACAGCTATGTGCTCTGGTGGGCGAGGAAGAAGCTGAGTTATGCCCTGTGCGGGGGACAACGTAGAGACTATCCAATAATTGGTGAGATCAGACAAAGATAATCTGAACTGTTCTGCCCTGCAGCTAGCTGAACACTCTGATGATGGCCTGCAGGATGAACAGGGGCCTGCAAAGCCAGTGCTCATGGCTCCTGAACACAACTTCCCTCTCGAGATCTGGGCCGCATTTTTCCAGGAGCGTTCAGAAGATCTCAAATCAGCTCTGCAGCGGTTTCAACGAGAGATCGAGGGGCTCTCCAGCAAGGAGTGGTAAGAAGTGCTTGTGGAGCAGGGCACTGCTGTGGGCTTCCTGTGTGTGTACATTGCTGCAGGTGCTGTAATCAGTGTGAAGAGACTCGTTAAAATCCTTATCGCTCTGTATGGCCCTGAGTTCTGCTGGCTGCAGGACTCCTAGCGCGCCCATGCTGCAGGAATGTAGGGAGACAGCCCGGTGGCCACCCCTGGAGCCGCTGCATCCCATTAGGGGCCTTCTGCCCCTGGCCTGGGCTGCTCCGCCAGCCTTGAAGGCCTAGGCACTGAGAGCTCCCTGGCATTCTTTGTAGGCGTCCTGGGTACCCCACCACTTCCCCTGTGTCCTCATTGGAGCTAGGGCAGGTGGTGACAGTTAGACAAGCATAGTTCAGTTGACTTGTGCTTTCATTGCTTTTGCATTTTATGTTGGATGAACTCAAGAGGTAAAGCACGATTTTCAGCTGAAGTAAGAAGTTGATCAATATTCTTGTTTTATGCGTTTTTATATTGAAAACAAGTACATTTGAAAATATTTTATTGCCAGCTTTTTCATGAACTCTTGAATAATTCGGAAATTAATTTGTAAAGAGATTGTGACTTTTACAGCTTAATAAAAAAAGTAAAGGGAAAGGACTCCTACAGGACTGTATTTCCAGCCTTCAGATAAATGTGTTAATGTTTATTATTATTAGTATACTGCCATACCTCTGTTTCTCATAATATTCATTAAGTAACGTTCATGTCTTTCTTTTTCTATGACCCCCAATCTTTCCTAATGCAAGACGTAGACTTCATCCTTTCTCATGAAATGATGCAAGGATAGTTATGTTTGGAAAAGCAAACAAGTTAATTGCTACATCTTTACGTGTAATGTATGGTACAAGATTCTCTGTGCAGTTTTTATCAGTGGACACTTTGCACTAAAAGCTGAACTACTAGCACTTTACACTTTACGTCTAGGCTTCACTGTGCCTAGATGAAACTTAGGAAAAAGACATCAAACAAATATGGTCAATATATTCTACTGTATCCAATACAAAATCTGTTCTTGTTTTCAGTGGGAATTAATCAATTTTTTTCTTCCTACATTTGCTCAAGGCAGGCAAATGTTGTGTTGGAGGGTCACATCTGTCCAACTCAATTCTAGTACTCCTCCATTTTGCAAAGCTGTACTGCCTGTGTGTACTCGATGTTCTGTTCTTACTACAGGCATACTAAACTGAAATTATTGTTTTAGGAAACAGTGATTTCGTTTTGGTTGTCAGTCATATGTTCACTGAAATTTATGTAAATTCCAACCATGTTTTCTTTTGCATTAGACTCCAGGCTTTGGGATGTATTTGGGATATATCTGAAGGTGTTCTGTGCTCTTACTGCATTGTGTTCTTGTCATTAGTAAAAACAAAGGCTGTCCCTGTGTTGAGCACTGTGGAAAAGGAAAGAGGCTTGGAAGGGAAGAGCCTTGGATGAGGGCAGCCAGTAGAGCAAATCGTCATTATGCTTGAACAGTTTTTCACTCTTGGCCATGTTACATGACAGAGCTGTTTTCAGCTCTTGTGCTAAATGACCAAGCTTGGCTCCAATGAGAACATACTGCTGCTTGCAGTTTTGTAATCTTCATCAGAAGTTTCAGCCCCATTTTCTTATATAACTTTAACATAACTTTTAATAGCCTGGTGGATTCTTATGGAAGTCTCGTTGGCTTTTTAAAGAATCTATCAGCTTCAAGTTAACCTCAATCCAGCCTCTTAATATCACAGGATTGAAGCTTTAAGCACCTGTTTTTACTTCATGGGATGGAATCACTTAACACAGCATGGAGATGTTTTTTATATCTGTTAGAGTATAAATAGAGTTCATAAATACCTACTCAAACATGGGGGGGGGGGGGGGGGACACACATCAGAGCTCTGTAGTCACAAAGTAGAGACCAAAGGTCCTGAATCATACCTGTATAGAAAGAGGTACTTTGGTTCTCTTTTGCTGTTTTCTTTTCCATTCATTTGTGGTTTCAGTTCTTCTCCCAGACTTAACATTTACATTTTTCCTCTTCATAATTTATATTTATACACAAAACACACTCTTAATTTTGCCCTTCTTATAAGCATGTCAGTTTAAAACCTTGATACCAATATACCAGATTTCATCCAGCCCCTTCAAAGAGCTTCTTCCAGTCTGTAGAAATCAGGAGGCACCTGCACAGGTGACTGATTCACTGTACAGCAAACAGTGTGACAGTATATGATAGGAGTTTAAGATGCTGTGATTTACAGGCCTCCTTGTTGGATACAATCCCCAAAACATCATCCTCAACATGCCAGAAGAAAACATGATTAGTTTGAAACCTCTTTGTGAATCAAAAAAAAAAAGTGTCTCATTTAATAGAATCATAGTATGGGTTAGGTTGGAGGGGACCTAAAAGATCATCCAATTCCAACCCTCTTGCTGCAGGCAGGGCTGCCACTCACTAGATCAGGTTGCCCAGGACCCCATTCAACCTGGCCTTGAATGCCTCCAGAGACTGGGAGTCCGTAACTTCTCTGGGCAGCCTGCACCAGGACATCACCACCCTCTGAGTAAAGAATTTCTTCCTAACATCTAATATAAATTTCTTTTTAGGTTGAAATGACTCCCCCTTGTCCTTTCACTATCAGAATGCATAAAAGTTGGTCCCACACCTGCATGTAGCTCCCCTCAAGTGCTGGAAGACCACAATGAGATCTCCCCAGAGCCTTCTCTTCACCAAGCTAAACTAGCCCAACTTGTTAAACCTTCCTTTGTAGAAGTTCTCCAGCCCTTTGATCATCTTTTTGGCCCTGCTCTGGACCCATTCCAACAGCTCTGTACTCCTTCTCTATGGGGACCCTAGGCTGGGACACAGTGCTCCAAATGAGGCCTCTAAGGGCAGAGCAGAGGGGGACAATCCTCTCCCTCTCCCTGCTGACCCCCCTTCCTGCTGATGCAGCCCAAGATACCATTGACTTGCTGGGCTGCAAGCGCATGCTGCTGGCTCATGTCAAGTTTTTCACCTACCAGGACCCAAAGTTCTCCACAGGCTCCTTTCAGTGAATTCTCTCAATGTGCTCATGTCTGGGGCTGCCCTGACCCAAGTGAAAACACCTTACACTCAGCCTTATTAACCTCATTAGGTTCTCATCATGCCTGTCCATGTTCCTCTCGATGAAATCCCTGCCTTTTGTTGTGTTGACTGCATCACTCAGCTTGGTGTCAACAATAAACTTGCTGAGGGGCACTCGATTCCAATGTCTAAGTCATGATGAAGATACTGAAGAACATCGGTCCCAAGACAGACCCCTGGGGAGCACTACTTGTGATTAGCCTCCACCTGGATGTAGATGCATTGACAACAACCTTCTGGTTATGACTGTCCAATCAATTTATCCACCAAATAGTCCAGCCTTCAAATCTCTGCAATTTTGAGATAAGCGTGGGGTGTGGGCTGTATCAAAGGCCGTATGCAGGTACAGGTAGATGATGAGACTGCCTTTCCTTTGGCAACCATTGCCATCGCTCCATCATAGAAAGCCACCGCAGTGGTCAGGCACAATCTGCCCCTGGTGAAGCTTTGCTGGATGTCTTGGATAATCTCACCCCAATTTAAATTTGTCCTTTGCACAGAAAGCAATGTAAGTAGTTTTCCTATTTGCGTAAAATTAATTGCAGATAATTGCAAAATTATTCCACAAAGAATGTATTTATTAATAGTTTTCTTTTACTTTTTAACTACATTTTATTGTTTGTGCTAATACAAGTGCCAGCTCATCAGCTACTCTTGATTGATATATCTGGTTATGTTGATTACAGTTTGTATCACAGCATAACGTTTCAACTGAATTTCAACTGATTTTATTACTTAATCCTTAGTCTGTGAGGGGCGGATACAGTCTTCAATGTCTTTATATTAGAAAATGGATAGATTTACAGTAGTGATGGTCTTAGATACCAAATTAACATGGAATGTGAATTGACTGCGTTCATACTCATAGTATCTATCCATGTGTATAAACATAGAGCACACCAGGTTTACTAGGATATCATAATTGCAAATTGGTGTTTTTTCATATACATATAATTTCACTTTATTTTTTCAGCTTCCATGGACTAGAGTCATGTCAGTAGAAGTTTCCTTTCCTGCTCTTTTTCTCTCTCTCTTCACAGTTAATGAGCATCTGAACTTCCAAGGAAACAAGGTGATTTGGATAAAAAAATAATCAGAACAAATCTCCCTTGATTGGAATGAAAGGAACAAAGAAATGACAAGTGAGTGCCAAACTATTTGCAGACCACTTACACAGTCCTAGAAAAGAATCTGTCTCTCCCTAAAGATTTCTTCCAGTGAAGTGCTAAGCTCAAAGTCTTTTGTTCTACCTTTATAATTTTCCAATTTCCATTATTTTTGCAGGTTTTCCTGTTTTATTTACAGGAATAAACTGAATAGCTATGTGCTACTCTGGTATTTAAAAAATACAAGGAAAAGGAGTACAATATAACACAAATGTAAAGTTTTTATTATAGCCTGAGATATGTTTAATGTTAAAAACAGAAGCACAATGTACATTCACATGCTTTTTAAAGAGTTCTGTGAACTTGCAAAGCTCTGAAGAAAGAGTTTTATGGACAAGAGGGAAGAGGAAGAGAGACTAATGTCCTGTGAACTCTATCAACGAGTTTTATTATAGTGATGTCCTTAAAAAAAAAGTTATGGTACTGCATGTTTCTAAAGCATATGGTGAATTTATAAACACCAAAAGTTTCAATTTATCTACATTTCTTCATTTGATCTTATGCAGTCTTGAACTAGCAGAAAAGAGAGTTGCCAGCATCCCCCCAGAAAGCAATGTAGGAATTGTTATGCATAAACTCACTTAATGCTTCAGTTCAGATATGTAAACCTGCCTGGTCAGGAAAGATTTGTGTGATAAAAATGCTCCTTTGAAAAAAATTGAAGTTCAGTGACAGCTTAGATTCTCACTGAAGTCTTAAAAAGTTGAATTTAGAAAAAAGAGTGAGAAGTTCCCATTTTGTGAAAAAAAAAAAAAAAAAAAGGTTGGAGAAATAGAGGGGAAGTAAAAGCAGAAAATACTTTTTGTCCTTAGAGAAAGGGTAAAGAATTACAAAAATGCTGTTTTCTGCAAGGCAGTTAGTTTGAGATTTAAAACTTGCTGATTTAATATTCTACTGTTTACGAATTTATCTCAGGCTGGATATGTTTTAGACCAGCAAGCAAGAGCCTTTCAGAGCAGCAAATGTAGCTATGATCTCATTAAGCACTTGTATTCGTTTCTTTCTCCATTAAATAAAAATAAGAACATGCAATTTATTGTTTCATCCTTCTCTTCACCTTCACAATTTACTTCTGCTCTTTTCTGCTGCTAGAATGATAATGTTTTCGGGGAAAACTCCAAAGAGAACATCTCAGAAGAACACAGAAAAAAGATGTTGAGCTCCTGCAAGAGGGTGAAGAGGTAAAGGAAACAGCTGTCTTGAGATGTAGAGTCTAGTTTGTTCGCTCATAATGATCGGCAGGAACGGAGGATACTTTTCTGATTTTAAGTCTAGGACCAGCTGTCCTTTTTGGTGCTGAATGTACCAATATGAATGGAGATGATTACTGCTCTTGAACTATCCTATAAAAAGAGTAAGTCTGGAGGCACTTTCTAATGTAAATACATGGAAGAAAGAAAATGAACTGGAATTTTTTTTTACGAAAACAAGTACTGGAGCATTGCAAGTCACATTCATACTCTTCCTGTGTCTTTGGCACAGACATCTCTCCTTGCATAACTCGAGTGAAATGGGCTGTCAATTCTGTTTGTGTGAGAAAAGTGTGGTTTCCTTCCATCTAACCATTGCCTCACCCTACAACATTAGGGTGAAGAAGGACCTGTTGGTGGTTTGTTGGATTTTGGTTTTTAACAGTGACCAAGTATGAAGGCCACTAAGATCAGAAACAATGGTTAAGATGAAGAGCTTGAAGACAACTGGAAAACAGAAAGTGCAAAGGATTCCTTCGTTTCAACAATGTAAACCTGACTGTGGAGGCTACAGAGGTGAAAAAAAAAACAAAACAACCCACTATGCTAAGTTTAAAAAAAGCCAGATCAGTTGCAAATAAAGACAGATGAACTTTGTCTGAACAAAACAAGGGGGGATTTGAAGCTTATCTAGATAAATGGGATTTCGATGTTAAAGCATGCTTTTTCTCATGGGCATCATTTATTTTAATTATCCTACTGAGGGAAAAGATTATACTTTGGACAGAAGGAATTTTGCTTCAACATCTTGACCTAATTAAGAGTTCATTGACATTTTATATTTGAATTTTGTCACTAACATGCACATGACCTTGGAAAATCATACTGGTTATTGTTTCATAAAACAATCTCAGTCATATGAAACATAATGTGAAAGATCATTTATTTTTCTGGCTTTGAATATGGAAGGATTTGTCCACTTACATGTTATAATGCTAAAAGCACTGCACAAACTGCCTAATAAAATTTAACTTCTTGGGCTTGGATTGCTAAATAGTCTGCATAGTTGTGGCAAAAGGTTAAATGGCAAGACACTTACTTCACCAGCAGAGGTTCTTGGCATGTCACGTATGAACATACAGAACATACAAAATGCACTGGGCTCCTTCACTTCAACAACCAATACAGGCAGTATGAACAGTGTGTGTCTTTCTGCAAAGCTTATAGGTCTGCTCTGTTGACATGACTTTTCTACACACTGTCCTCCCATTGGGTTTCTGGTGGGGTAGGGAGCAAGAGAAGCTGGGGGTTGTATGCAGGCTATGAATGTAAGAGGAGGAGTTTAATAGAAGAAAAAAATTTATAGCCTAGAAAAGTGATACTGAGTGTTGTTATCTTGGGTTTTGGGTCAAGGCTTGTGTGGTGGAGCGTCCAGCTTCTTTGTCACAAGGCCATAACGTTCAGAGCTGATAGCTAGTAAGTTTATCCAAAGGTTTTCAAAATGGGAAAAATTCCATCTTCGTTTAATAAAACATGTTTTTTGAGAAAATTTTAGATAAAATTCAAGAGGGTTCTTGAAATGTGACAAATTTGCTGCTAAGAGGTAGAAAGTGTTCACCATAGACTTCTGTGTTTTGGGAGGACCATTTGTTGTGATTAAACTTCCTGAAAGCATTGGAAGAGATTTGTTTTTCCTCTCTCACACACTGAAAACAAGTTTTGAAACCTTTAGAGCTGTTGTGAAACAATCATCTGGCAGACTCTGCTACATTTTCCTTCCAAATATTTTAAAATTTATATTGTGTCTAACACACCATTTTTCCAGAGAGTTACTGGAGACATGCAGTCTCTGTCTGCTACCTTAATTCTATATTTAAGAGTGCTTGAAGAGTTTGAGGGATCCATTCAGGTTGCAAAAGCTCTGAAGGTAGGAAATGACATGGCTGAAGGGTTTGACTCTTTAGACATAGCTGCTCTCTCTGAGCAAGGCAGCAGTATCATGAATAAGGTATGCTGAATCAGGCTTACTGTCTTACAGGCAAATCTGACACGCTGGACTAAGTGAGTATTTACTATTGATTTCAAAAAGCATCAGACTTCAGCTCCAAATTAGAAAATAAATCAGTTTTTTTTGCTGTGGTGTTGTTTTGAACAGAAAATCCAACGGGTATAGAGGATACATAAAGAAGAAGCGTCTCATTGCCATTCTACAAATTCATGAATTTTCAGTCATTACTGCATACAGATGCATACATAATGCTGTATGCTGCTCAGATAAGTTTCAGAAGAGAAGTACTTGACAGGAAGTCATGCACCCTTCCTTGCAACTCTGTGCCTTCAGCAGAAAAAGGATAGTGTTCAGCACCTGAAAGCATGACTTTCACTTCTACATGTTTATCCAAATGCAGTTCTGGTGTGCACCTGAAAAGCCAGTTTTCATATGGCACTGCGTGCAGTTTATTTACAGTAGAAGTTCTGATGCTGGAGCCCATGTACAACAACCTCTGAGCATGGTCTGATACCCACATACATCCAAATTCTTGGATCTCTGCTGGTATTCTCAATTTTATTGCAGGTTTAAAACATGAAATAGCACTCACTGAGCTGACACAGCTCTTGCAGAGTGTTTATTTTATGGTGGTAGCTCTGGATTTGCCTAAGCTGGTTGTCTTTTCCCTGTTCTCTTAGACGCCTCATGAGCCCACTGACTCCAGAGAGACAACGCAGGAAATTGTTTGGGTTGGTTTATTATTCTGAGATGTTTGTTTAGTTATGTGGAGCTCTCACTATCTCTGGCATGCCAGAGCAGCCTAGCTTTGAGGACCATGCTGACGCTGCTTAGCAAATAGGTGAATCAAGCTGTCTGTTCTGCTCCCTCTTTTTTGTTTGAAATGCATCTGAAAGAATCAAGACAAGGTGAAGTGGATGCCGCCCAGATTAGAAGCCCAGCAGTTACTCATTAATAATGAGTTTTGAAAGCTAATGAACCAACAAATCTATGAAAGCTTTGCTAACAGGGTTCAATCAGTTTAGTGGGATTTAGAATCGGACTGGTTGCAACATACACTGAAGGCAGCATTCCTGTAGGCATAAGCAAAGAACTGAGACTGAGCTGTAGGAGAAATGAGAATCCAGAAAACTACTGGATGTGTATTTTTACATCCAGTTTAATTTCCACTTGTCTTCCACTGTTGTGGGCCAGATGGACTCAATGTAAATGAAGAGATATTGGAGCCCACTATACATTGTGCTGTGAAAATGCTCTTATATTCCATGAATTTCAAGACCCTGTATAAGCTGGAAAAAAAAAAATAAAATGAATCCTTTCAGCTTTGACTTACAGATACAGATAGAGAGCAGAATAAAAAGAACTACAGACCTATGTACATATATAAACCTCTCATGTAGCCATTTCACTGTCATCATATATCTGCTTTCTTGCCTCATCTCAAAATCAAACTACACAAAGTAATAGAAAAGGCACTAAATTCATGAAATAACTCTAGAGTTATTTGTGAGCTCTGATTGCTCTTTGTGCACCCCAATGTAGCTGCATTGTCCCTGCTCATTGCATGGAAGCTGAACTAGAATCTTCCATCCAACTGAAATGATTCTACGACTCTATCAAAGCGTTGACCCAACAGAGCTTAAGTGTGGAGGATGGAGAGAACATCCACTTGTTAATTGTTCAAGGGGTAAGGGCAAGAGAGATTAAATTTGAGGCAGCCAATTTCTAAAATAAGACAAAAATTCTGCTTTTTTTTTGCTATCCTCTTCACTACATGCACGGTGGAAAACAAACTCTGGAAGTCTACAAGTGTGGACTGTGACATAGGACAGTAATATCACTGGTTCAAATAGGGTCAGTAGATTCGGAGGAGAGAACTAAGTATGGCTGTTGAACACTAATGAGTACTTCAGGTATACACTTCAGGCTTACACTTTACTAAAAGTTCTTGTGCTGTTGGATGATGAAAGCTGAGAACTTTACCAGGAGATATTTTATCTTGTACCGCTGCATGGCTTTCTTAAGCTGTCACTGGTGTCCAGTGTTGGAAGTGAGCTGCTTCTCAAAGCAGTGCTTGGCCTCTCCCAGTATGGGGTGGTTTTTACGTCCTATGGATATGCATTCTCTATCTTGTCATTGGATTTCTTCTCAAACATTTTCCCAGGCATTACAAGTATGCGGTGATGGTGAAGAAACCAGTTTGTGTGTGTGGAGACAGAAATAGGAACATCATGCACAGAAGTTGCGAACTAGGCTAAAGCCAGCTTTACTTGAGGAATGCTGGAGAAGAAATATTTCCCATTTGTTTACATAGCTCGGAATGTTTCCCCCACTTGTCAGCAGGTCAATACTTTTATCATGGCTGTTCAACAGAGCCAGGATGGAAAATCATGTTTCCTTCAGGTGCCTCAAAGTACAGCAAACACATGATAGAGCAGCTTTGCAGTTTATCAAAGAACAAGGCAGTTGCTAATGCAGCAGGTCATGTTCTGTTGTAAGCCCTGTCTGCTTGTCACTCTAAGAGCTGTGTCCCTGGATGTGTTTGTGCATCATGCAAACCTGGACAGAGTCAGCAGGAACAGAGTGCTGTGCATATCTGAGAGCTGGATGCCTGTTTCTCTCCTGTCTTAAAGACAGACTGAGAAGGAGAGCTCACTCCCAGAGGCATTTTCTAAACATAACCATGTTTAGGTCAGAGCCTTGGAACAGCAGACAAACCAAGTAATACCACCCAGGAGATGGGAAAGCTCTGTACAGAGTGCAACAGAAATCCAGAAATGTCTGACAGAGGAGGAACCCCACCCAGCTTCCAAAAATAATGCAGTGCAAACCTCAGGATGCAAACTTGTGAAAGGTTTGTACGGATTGTATACAAGTTCACAGTAACTCAGGACTGGCATTGTTTGTATTTGCAGAGGCATTTCTTAATCTCTTTTCCTCCACTCTTAGTTCATTGATTGCTAAACACTTTTTAAGAGTCGCTTTCTATTAAGGATGAGCAACAACGAAAAGTACATGCAAAGAGGATATTTAACATCCTTTTGAAGGATGCACTGAGTTTCTGTTATAATAGCTCTTAATTGTGCAACTGCTTGCATCTGATAAGACAGTGCATGTGCACATTCACGCTAAACGCCTGATGGGATCACAGCCATGAGGCCTGACTAAGAGACTTTGAGGTGCCGGAGAACAAACTGATTTTCACCATTCTAGTGTCAGTTAAATCAGAAAGCATCTTTGCATAGAATTAGCTCTGTCAATCTGGCAAGGATTTTGTAAAGAAAGCATTAGCAGCATGAAGGCAGAGGACAGCTGTGCAAAATCCGGTAGATTCAGTTAATACCCAAGATGAGAATCAAGGTCTACCAGGCTGCAGTGTGTTCAGCCCCCTTCATTTGCAACCCAAGCGAGGCAGCTTGTGGGCCAATTGCTTTCTTTGGCTGTAAGATCAATTTAGAGTCTCCTGCAAACCTCTCCTCAAATCACAATTTTTATCAGTTTCAGGCAGAGAAACATCAGGGTTAGTGGAGCTGCTAACCTAATGTCAGGGCTTTATGTTAAAAAGTTTCACTAGTAATCAGATGCTTTCCATTCTATGTATTTCCCATGTCCCACCTCAGCCTACAACCAAATGCTAAGCTCTTCTGTGTAGCCTTGACTGTTGCAAAATAGAATTGAAGTCAGACCAGGTTGTTTTCACACATGCAGCTTTTGTGGCTGATGCAGCTGAACCAAACTCTGATTGTTAGCCGGTCAATAATTAATTATCAAGTGTTTATCACCTTTTCAGCATCCAGAAACTAAATACAGGTGGATCCACAATGTATGCTTCCCATGTAAACTTTGAACCTGAGAAAGAATGTCAACCCTTCATCACAGTATGAGAGAATCTCACAGAAACCAACAGATACTGAGCTATTGTACGTTTCCTGGGAACAGGCAGACATTGCAGGGAGGCACACTTTAGCAGGGAAAGTCAGATGTACAAGCTTAATC